ATCACTATTATTATTATTTTTATTATTGTTATTATTATTATTATTATTATTATTATTATTATTATTATTGTTATTATTATTACCACTGATATTATCATTATTATCACTATTATTATTATTATCATTATTAATATTGTCATTATTGTTATTGTTATTATCATCATTATTATTATTATTGTTATCATCATCATCATTAATTGTTATGACTAGGACAACAACGCAAATCATGATTTAGACTAGCTTACATTGTTAATCCACAAATAATTCCACCACTTGGATATGGCAAATAATTTGGTATACACATGAAGCTGAAATAAACAGAAAAAAATTTTCTTAAATGAAAATTAAAAAAAAAAAAAAAAACAACGCAAAGAGTAATTCCTAATTAGAATAAAGTGCAAAAGTAATAATGCAACCACCTAATTAATCCTTTTTTTGTTTTTGTTTTTCAAATTTTTCAAAAATTGAAAGAAAAATGAAAAAAGTTCAAAAATTTTCAACAAAATATTTTCGTTTTTTATGCAAAAATTCTCGAGGAAAATAAAACCATCGAGAAAAATTGAATCAAATTGATTGAAAATAAATGAGGAAATGGGTTGTTAGTACTACTAGTATGAGTTACAGGATATGATTAATGAATTATACGATAATTTCCATTGTGATATTTCAAGAAAATTTTGGACCATTTTTATGATTTGTAAATAAATTTTGTCATATTGGTTAAATTTCTCATCTTCAACCATTCATACTTTTTCATCTTTCATTCATTCTTTTCTTGTCCTTTTTTTTTTTTTATTAAACTTACGAAACTGATCAATCAATATTTGTAATAAATCATTCACTTACAAAGGAAAAGAAAAATTCAATCGATACTTGCTATTTCAATTATTTGTTTTATGATCAATCGATCGATTTTATGATATCGATCAATGCTTGATTATTTCAGTTGTAGATGATCAATTATTATTTGTTAATTAGACGATTAATTTCTATTTGTTAATTTAAATCATTAATTGGATGATTTTTTTAAGGGGGGTAGGGTGGATAAAATTTAAAAAAAAAATTTAAAGATATTTTAAGGTCAAAATTTAAATCATTCGTCGGATAACCAATCAATCAATCATTATTTCACTATTTTGATTACTTATTAATCATTATTTGCTACCGCAAAGTTTTAAATGAACGTGATGAAATTAATCAATATATGCAAATTTTTAAGTGATAAATCAAATTAACACCAATTAATTTAATTTTGTTGTAAAAAAAACCATTTATAATTTATTTGAAGGAAAAGATTCTAATTTAATTTGTTTCTTTCTACATTTCTCTTCATGTTATGTACTAATTTAAACTTAATAATTTTAAAAAATATGCTAATTTTGTCATTTTGTCACTTCTGTCATTTTCATCACTTATGTCATTTTTGCTTTAATTGTTTCTAGTTTTTAATTTTGTTTTTTTTTAATAATTCATTTAAACAGTGTTATGAATGCGTTCTTCAATTTTTATTTTAATTTATAAACTTGCAAAAGTTCTTTTTGAAAAAAAAGTTGACAATATGATTGATTGATATGTCATTTGATTTGTCAAAGGAAAAGAAAAATTGCTGATTGTATGACAACAGTATGAAACAAAAATCGTATATACTTTTTCTTTTTTTTTTTTTTTTTTTTTTTGTATAAATATATTGAAAGAGAAAAGAAGAAAAAGAAAGCAATTTAGGATGAAAAAAAAGAAACGAAGAAAAAAAAAGAAGCAAATAGAACAAACAAAGAAATTGATTAATTAATATTGGAATTCAAATAATGATTTTTTTTTCTTTTTGTTTTTGCTTTTTAATGAGACTATAATGAAAAGAATTTGCAATGTTATTTCTCATACAAAGAAACAAAATAATTTTACAGGTAGGAAAAAAATAATGAAGCATACGAGTTTTTTTTTTTTAATCATAAAATCGCATAATTTAGTTAATTAATCCATTTCGTATTTTTTCCACTTAATAAAATTATTAATTTTTAAGAAATGACAAAAGATTGAAAGTCTTTTCAACAATAACAAAAAGTAAAATTTAATGAATTTTTAATGATGATTAAAATTTTTATTTAAAACTTAAAAAATATTAAAAATTCGTATAGGATTGAGAAATCAATAATTCTGAACTTTTTTTTTTTTGTTTACCTATGATAGCTTGGCCTTGTTCAATATCAAAATACAAAAAGATATCAAAATACAATATTTTGTTCGATATCAAAATACAATATCCAAAATATAAAAGATAAAATCCGCAAATGATTTCCATTTTTTGATTTCAAATGGAAATTTATAATCTTTTTCTTTATTTATCATATCATCTGCTCTGCTTCACAACAAATTATCAAATGATAACAATAAACATTGCTTGTTTTGTTCTTTCTTTTTTTTGAGAAAAAAAATTTAATTAAACTTAATTTCATTTAATTTAATGCATTTGACAGAATGATTTTAACATTTAACGTAGATCACTTATCACTGCTTCTGTTTGTTCGGTATAGTGATAACGTTTCCGGCTTGAATAATCCGGATTTTCCTCATTCAAAACTGTAGTAGTGGTTTCAATTTCCGGATTATTGGTAATATTTTTTACAGCAATTACTTGGGCATTACCTGCCGTGTTAATTGCTCCAACACTTGAAAATACAGTTTTGAACATATGCATAAGTGAGAATTGACTGATACCTAAAAATAAAAATCACTATTGATAATATTATACAAATTAGTACTAGATTAATTTTATCATTATCAATGCATGTCATATCACTTTGTATTGCTCTCAAATCAATCAATAAAATGGTCAATGATTAATGCGATAATGTTACAAATGATAAGAACATGATTATGATAAATAACAATCATTTATAGTATCATAATTTTTGTTCTACTGTACATATCAGTTTTATTATTATTCTACAATTAATTAGCAAAAAAAAAAAACATTTAATTGGATAATTTCAAAAATTTTGTTTGTAATTTTGTATTGCAAGGAAAAAATGTGCGCAATAAATGCTGCAATAAATTTTTTTAAAAACAAAAGAAGTAATTAAGCAATTATAAGGAAAAAATATACCAGGTGAAACAGATGGGCACACCCGTCCAATGTAATAATATAAAGCAGCTAATGCTAGCAAATGTAGCAATGCATACCAGAAATTTATAAGTAATATTATAAGGATATTTACAATAGCCTGAAAGAAAAGTTCATAAATATTAATTATCCGGTAAGTTTAACAACAGTAACAACAACAACAACAACAACAACAACAACAACAACAACAACAACAACAACAACAACAACAACAACAACAACAACAACAACAACAACAACAACAACAAC